GTTACCCAAAAAATGTTTTCCATGGACTCTATAACATACGTGAATTAGATATATCACATAACAATCTCACAATCGTGGAAGGGTACTTATTTAAGAATTTGCACTTTTTGGCCAAACTAAACATAGCTAATAACCCCCTAAGCGCTGTCCTGGACTTCGCATTTCTGGGATTGCGGGCTCTTCCATCCTTGTCATTGGCAGGCATGAACATTGGTTTTATTGGCAAGAATGCCCTCGTGGGACTTTCGGCATTAAGAATATTAGACTTGAGTCATAACAATCTGGATACCCTTTATGATGAAACTCTGGTCCCTCTAACATATTTGAAACAAATTAATCTAGAAGGCAACTCCCTTAACAATGTCAACGTAAGTGCTTTTGCCTCCTTACATGAAGACACTATTTTTATAGGCGGTCTGAGGAGAATATGTTGTTTAGCAAATCACGTTACGAAGTGTACCCCAAAACACATCGGTCAGACAACGTGTTCAGATTTGATTTCTGATGTTTTCTTAAGGGTAATTATTTGGCTCCTTGGTCTTGTAATTGTCATAGAGAATTTTGCAGTGATTATTTGGGTTAACGTCAGAGAGTCGAAAATGACAAGTATAGAGGTTTTCTTGATCGTTTTATTGGCGTTTGCTCAAATCCTCTCCGGTACCTATATGCTTATTATTGCAGGAGTAGACCTGCGATTTCGAGGAGAATTCTACCTTCACATTAACACGTGGCCAAGACACTGGATGTGTAAATTAGCAGCTTGTCTTTTAAAAATCTCTGTCGGTATCACAATGTATCTTTTAGGTATGATACTGGCAGAGGATATACGAATGCTGTTATTTCCTGATATAAAGTTCCCAAAGAGTAAATACATGGTTTTGTCAGTTGTTGTCATAGGCTTTTACACTGTGTTAAGTGGAGTCACATCTATTCTGATCTTCAGTAACAATAGTTTCTGTACCATGTTTGTTCACAGTGATGGGCTCGCCATCAGCTTTATGGATTGGCTTATGGTTTTATGCAACTTTTTACCGTTGGCTTTTATCGTATTTTTGTTTTTTGTATTATATAAATCGTGGGAGAAAATCAAAGACTGGGACATCGATTCCGATGCGTATTCACGATGTGCCCATGGCTTTATCTGGATTGTTTGGACGGTTTTTCTTGATTGGTGTTCAATTCTGATTGCGAAGCTCTATGAGAGCGGCGTAGTGTCAGTCGTTGATTCTGAAGGCTATCTTCTCCTTGTGCTCATACCAATCAGTCTAACATTGAATCCCCTCGTTTACGTATATTGTAGGCCGGCTGAACTGAATTATCTCGTGAAGGAGAAAAGTGGTGAAAATGACGAAGTCGAGTCAGCGGCAACAACCAGGATGACAAGTGTACGAAGTGTGGTGTCTCGAAATTCGTACCATTAGCGAGGTTTGAACCATCAGTAGCATATAGTATTGCATCCATTTAAGGCCAGTTGTCAGGCTTCGGCTTTCATCCCATCAGGTGTCACGCTGCTCGGCCAGAGGTTCACTAGGTTATTGCGTGAACCGGCCTGATGCTTGACTGTCATAACTGTGGCATGATGTAGGCGGTGGGGTAAAGAATTAATACCCTAGATATCAGAAACGTGTAACATAATAACATGATATGTCTTGATTGAATACCATTTGCGTTTTGTATCTTCGATAACTGTCACACGAAATGTTTGACTAGATAAAATCTTGACTTAATATAGTTTAAATTTATAACCGTTTTTTGTTGGAGAGGGACCTCACTGCACTTACAATAGCATTAAAATTTAATCAAAAATGGTAAATTGAATTTAAATGACAAAGCAGCTAACCTGACAATATACAGGCAAAATGCATAAAATAATGATGATGCACAAAGTTATTTTGTCCATTTTGGTGCAATATTACATAATGCTTAGCAGCAAAATCGACACCAATTTTTAATTATGCACAACAGGTAAAACAGATATTAGCACCAGCTAGAGGAAAAGAACGGCAATACCGCTGCCAGGTATTGTACCGCCAGACAGATTTTAAGCTTATTCAAGTTGAATGTCAGCTATGGATGCAACTTTTTTGGATAAAAAGTTGTGTATAAAAAGGGGCTTGTAAATATGCAAAGTTCATTTTCTGTTGGGAAGTAGGTCAAAGGCTAAGTTCAAGGTCACATTATGATGCCCAATATATTATTTCCTTTCCATGTTCAATAGTAACTTTATTTGCGTGCATTTTTGATAATTTTGGAGATATAAGGGCTGGAAATTTTGCATAGTACAGTCCATGGTGAAAAGTAGTTCAAAGGTCAAATTAAAAATCGCATTCAGATGTCCAATATACAATTCCCTATTCCAGTTCAAAAGTAACTATGAATATATCTCTGATAGTTTTGGAGATATAAGGGCTAGAAAATTTGCAAACTGTGCCAGATTGAATTCGAATGCAGACCAGGGCAGCTTTCTCCATTCTTCCAGCAGTGCAGTTCTTAACTTAATGACGGTGGTATATATAGGACGTGGCTGGAGGATATGAAGTCTTTTGCTTACTTCATCCCGGGCATCATCAATGCAAGACATATCTGGTCTAAACGCTGGCCATGAAAGAATCTGGATCTGCTCTTGCTGCAGGAATGTCTTTGCTATCTAGGCATAAAATGTCCTGCTGGAGCAAGCTTAGGGTAGGGTGTTGATGGATGAAAGATACAACAACTGCCCTAAGGACTTTAACTCTGCACCGCTGGCCAGTCAGATTTATCATCAACCACTGCAATCACCATGAGTTCTGCCTGAAAATTGCAACTTAAGCCCGCCCAAACCATGACATTGTCCCTATGGCATTGGCCAAAAACATGACGCTGTCCAAATCATGCAGTCATGGTATGATGTCAACCTAGAATTTAGTCACTTAAGCTTGGTTTCCTGAGTCCAGTGTCCACATGCATTAATTTTGGACAACTGATATCTGCAAGACACTCATCCCACTTAGTGTTCGAATGATATTTGAAGCTAGCCACTGTCTGAACTCTACTTTAGGACTGAAATGGTAATTTGTCACTGAATACATGTGTAATTTCGGGCATGTTGAAGCAGTGTGGTCAAATCATAAACTTGTGTTTCTTTTTTTTTTTTTTTTTTTGGGGGGGGGGGGGGGGGGGGGGGCACAGGCCTGGACAAGAAAAAAATTCACTCAGATGGGAACCAACTACTCCAAACAATTGTCTCGGAATACAACTAACCACTTTTCTGAATTTTCTATCAATTAAACAAAAGGCAGTACTGGAAGAATCCTGAGAGAACCTACATGTATCTGGTATAATTCTTCTCTTAACATAGATTACAAACCTGTGTATTGCATTAAAAAAACTCTACGAATAAGGTTTTCATACTATTCAAGACCTACTTGATATAGTGAAGGGGTTTGTTACATTAGAACATTTAAGAGGAGTTAAAGATACATACCCCATTTACTGTAAATATCTGAATGCAAATGGAATGCCAACATATTATTGCCTCTTGACACAAGCACCATCCAATCACCATGTGAAGACATAAAGGGATAACAATTGTTCGTATGGGATCTATATTTCACAATAAAAACATTGTAAACAAGTCATAGAAATATAATATATTCTATTTTACCATAAAACAGCAGTTATAGCAATTAATCTGAAATCTGTGCATGGCGTCCGACCACGTGACCTCCCTAGATGGCTATACTCTGTACTTATCTCTAAAGAGATTATTATTTAAAAGAAAAAAAAAAAAAAAAAAAAAAAACTGGGACTAACTTTGAATGTAGAAATGGATTCATTATCCATTGTTATGTAAGGGAAAAAATTGTTGTTTACCACAGGAAAATTAATTTTTTGGTCAAAATGAACAGTTGTTATCCCTTTAGAAGTTTGATTGCAGGTACATACACACACACACTTGTAAAAGATCTCTACCATACTCCAAAAAGTGATCAAAAATGGAAATGTGATTTGGATGTTAGAATAACATGGTAACAAACTTACAATAGCTTAGTTGTTTATGTGAAGAAAGTGCACTTTAAATGCTTCTATTACAGAGTAATTCACAGAAACTTGAGCACTCAGGGCTTTCCATTTTAATGTGAAATTACGGATAATCCTTACTGTAGCTTACTGATTATAAAATAATTAACCAACTGTAGATAGAAGTGAAACAATGTGTTCATCAAGCTACAGGCCTCAATTTAATAATACCTATAGACATTATTGTGGGAAGTAGTAATGTTAGAAATCTTTTAGACATTATTGTGGAGTAATGTTAAAAATCTATTGATACTTCAAGTAAAAAATTTCCTCTTCATGTGTGCTAGAAAAAAATAGAAGTTGTCTATCACACCTAACTTTAAAGGGATAACAACTGTTCATTTCTGCCAAAAAAGGATTTTCCTAGGATAAAGGACAATTTTTCCATTCTTACCAATGGTTAATGAATCCATTCCCACATTCAAAGTTAGTCCCTGTTTTTTTCTAAAAAGTTTAGTTTTGTTATTTTCTCTTAAGAGATTATTATACAGTGTAGCCATTTATGGAGGTCACAAGATGTGATGGCAAGCACAAATTGCAGACTAATTGCGTTAACTGCCGTTTTGGTGGTAAAATAGAATTTATTATATTTTCATGAGTTGTTTCCAATGTATTTATTTTGAAATATGGATAACTTATGAACAGTTGTTATCCTTTTAAGTCAGTTTTGCTTAAAATATTAGAAGACTATTATCAGGCAGATCTATTAATTTTGTGTAACAGAAAAAATGGATGTGTGAGTATATTACTTTTTCTTTTGTTGTATTTTATGTATTTTGCATTTCAAAAAAAAAAAAAAAAAAAAAAAATTGTTGTTGCTCTCTACAACTAAAGGTACGATCTTCTCTACAAAACATTATTTCAGTAAATAAAAGAAGACAGTATACACACACGACAAGAGGGCTATTACTTCACACAAAGAGAAACCACAAAACATTCTATTGCTTTACAAAATATATATTTACTATATCAGAGAAAATTTCATTACAACAATCAATACAAAACTTGCTTGTGTGTTTGTATCATTAACACCAGGTATTAGGAACCTGAACCATAAATTTTCTAAACCATATGAACGACACAGATGAACATAACAGTTAAATGACTTGAAATCCTAACTCTGGTCACAGTTACAAGATATCTGTTAAACATTTTTAATTATCAGACCCAAAACTTTTCTTATTACAGAGATCCTTGTATTTTTCAAATGTTTTAATTAATTTAAAGATCATTCTAGATGAATGAATCCCAACTGGCAATGAATATCACCTAAATGCTCTCTGTTCAGGGACGAGACTGCCATTAAGTGAAAAAGTCAGAAAATACGGCGTGGGGTCCAGATCAGTCGCCCACCCCCACCCCAGTTTTAATTGCAGATCTACATCAATCTCAAAAACGATATCTTTGGCTCCCAAAAAGTCGAAAATCCAAGGATAGTTGGAAAAATCACATCCCTGACTCTACAGTTATATTTCTGAATCACCTTGCTTTTATTATCATAACACGCAACTACAGCATCACGACATAATGACATCATGTGACATAATGGCATCCAGTATAAATCACTACAGCCGACTCCTCATCACAGAAGTAAGATATTCGTATATTCATTTATCTATATACACACCAACACCACTCAATATATATATATTTACACATTAATGATACTGGTTTTACTATACAACAATCAAAGAACAAAGTCCTTTATCAGATAAATGCATTAACATCCTTGGCCTAAATATCAAACTGCGTTGGTTAAAAATGAACCGCCAGTGCCAAATTAACTGATAAATGTCAAGACAGAACCAATTTTTTATGCCAACGCCATTTGTTATCTACAATTTCCAGAGTATTGATGATGTAGCAACTTTGCTTTTTCATATAAAATATCCATTTTTGTTCTGATCTTCACTAATGTATGAAATAAATGTGCTTGACAGTTTGATATATAAAAGTAAACTTTGACCCATCTCTAAATCAAGATCAAGTTTGTTGTCTATAAAGATTTTTAAGTAATATGTCTTAATTCTTGTCTTGTCAATCACATGAAAGCAATCTTTCCAAAAATTATTCAACAATTGTTCAGAATATGTCCTCTTTTGTGAATGATAAAAATTTGTCTTCGAAAAAAAAATCTGAGAAAAATTTCCACTGCAATTTTTTAAATTCACTTCATTATTACTTCTATCAGATTAATCCCACAACCAAGCCACATTTTCTACTTTCTATCATAATATGTTACAGAGGCACATTGTCTCAGACTCAGGTTGACAATACAACACAGCCTATAAACACTGTAATTGTTGAAAAATAACTTCCAACTTTCTACATATTAAGAGTTATTAAATTCTCTCAGTTACTCAAAAGACTACCAGAAAATAAAAGAGAAGAAATGTCTTAGGTTAGTCCTGTTTCTTTAATTTTTGTTAAGTTATGTAGGTGTTATCTCACCTTTGAATGAAAAGAATTTTAAAAATGTAAGTTATTTGTCAGTTAGTGCAGTGTTGTCATATCTAAAATGCTACATGAACATCCCTCAAATCCAAAACAAACAAAATTTACCTATGACTTGCCCATCCCAACAAATACATGTGCAGACACAATAACCAAACTGAAAATATTTAAAGGTAAAAATGAAAGAGGATGCTGTATAAAGCACTCAACCAATAGCAGGCCCTGACATGAAAGAGGATGCTGAATAAAACAATCAGCCAATAGCAGACCCTGACAGTCTTGGATATTTTCAGACATTAAGCCAGATACTTCAGACTCTCCTTTAAGAATACCCCAGGAATCAAGTGTATAGATGCCAGATTTTTTTTACCTTAAGGCAGACTGGTTTTTGATGTTAACTTAAAATAACAAGTGTAGATTTGTTTATCCTTATCCATTTATCATAGTCTAACAAGTTAGTCTTACAAGTTTCAACATCGGGGGATACCTTTTGCTGAAGATCTAAATATCCCTGTCTAACAGGTTAGACTATAAAGTTACCACATCTGAGAGTACCCGCAGTTGAGAATCTAAATTGTATACACTTATGGGTTAGATGAGGATCTCTCATTCAAGACACAGCTTTTTCACCTGATGAAATAATTTTACATCAATGCACTGGATGTGGGCCTTTTTTCCTCCTTTCATCTGTCGTGGCAAGATGTGCGGAAAAAGTATGAGGCATTGTGCGTTTGATACCAAGTTACTTGTGTTCCAGAGACAATGGTGCTGCACCAAGGGGGGGCAATCACAACAAATGTGACACAATCTACTCCTTCAACCTTAAGCCTTTCCTTCATAAACTGCCAACTTCTTCTTCAGCTGCACATTTTCTGCCAGAACTTTCTCCATTTGCTTCTTAACCTCCGCATTTTCTCTCTCCAAATAAGATGCCCGCATGGCTATTTGATTTTCCTTTATTCGCCTGGCGTCCCTTGACCGCTTGGCTGCCACGTTGTTCTTCCTGCGCCTGTGCCAGTAACGTTCATCTTTCAAGTCTTCTGGGACAAAAATCTGAATAAAAATTGAATATTTAACAATAAAAACATAAAGCAGGCCTGATCATTCCTATTAGGAACCTGATTTTCGTGTGTTTTGTAAAAATGAAAAAAGTTATTGTCAAAATTATGCATCCTAAAAATAATGGAATTTTTACTAGATTCAATAATTTTGAAAAAAGTTTTATACGCATCATTCCTTGACAGGGGTTTTATACAAACTTGCCTCTACTGATAGACAGTCGAGTTCAAGACTGCCCTAGGTTAATACTCTGGACCAAAAAAAAAAGTTCGTAAATATTGGCATTTTGAATAATTATGAAATAACCACGAGCTTAGGTAAACATTTTAACCAAATATTGATGGGTAATGCACACACCATTTGTTACTTTATTCTATCAGTATACACTAAAGATATCCCCACTTCATTACATAGTTTTTTTAATTACTGAAGAAAAAATTTGTTTCTGAACTTTTTTGGTTGAGTGTAGATGAAGAGCCATGATGACACAGACTCTATTGAATAATCCTTAAAAGCATAAAATAAACAACGGTGCTTGTTTAAAATTTTTTGTTCACTTAATATATGCCAATTCACTTAATATATGCCAAAGTCCAATTAATATATGCAAAATGAAAATAAAAATCTAACTTCCAAAATGGGTTGAAAAGAAGAGTCTTCTCCTACAGTAACTAGTCTATTACTTTTTTTAGATTAGTTTTCCTCGTGAATTAGTTCTTTGACGTTACTTCTTTGAAGCTATTCCAAAACTGTGAGAAAAGGTGAGCATTTGTTGTTTATCTATATTTACTGCTTATACCAAGAACAATGTCAAGTTACGCATGCTACAAAGGTTTCCATGCTATAACCCTGACAGTTTAGAAAAGAGCAGATTCATCTACATTTTTTCAACCACAAAAAGTAGAATGCCTGTACTGTAATTGCAGTCACCTGGATCCAAGAACTTAAAATTTATTTTACCTATGCAAGCTTCACGAAGGATCACCTTGTGCAATGGATGCCTTTCCTAGTACCACAATTTACCAGTGAAGGCTACTTGGTGTCAGTTTGTACTCTTTGTATGCATTTCTAGTTTTTACACATTTAAGAGCCTCACTTCTTCCAAAATTTTACCTTTGTAAGATTTTTATAACAGACTATTCTCTCAGTAAACAGTCAAACTCGTTCATTCAGTTCTGTCAAAGCTTCCACTCTGGAAGAACTGACAAAGTATTGCTTTGTAATTAGCAGGTCAGTAAGGTAAGGATGTGCGCTTCACTGAACTGCTATTCAGTTTGCCTAAGCACTGTGCCCTGCTGAATGCAGGGAAACCAACCAAACGTGACCAAATAAACAACAAAAGCCTATATTGTTAATCTGCTTGGTGGGAGACAAATATTTATTTAAGAAATTGCAAGAAACCCTTCATCTTGTTTGAGACTACACAGATATACTTTCTTAAAAATATATTTTCTAATGTTCATTTTTTTCTGTGATGCCAGTCACAAATAGAACTTTTGAGGTGAAAATTTGTCCTCATAAATGCCAATACAGCAGTAATTAGAGAAAAAAATTGTATAAAAAAATCAATTTATCAATTTTTAATTAGGAAATCCTTGCTATTAACTGATACAAGGTGAATTAGGCTGTTTAAAATTGGTCAGCGACAGTTTCTTTGTGCTATCACAAGAGTTAACCTAAATTCTAAGTGTTCTGGGCTTTTTTCAGTCTTAAAATTTGTTACAAAACATATTTTTGTGTGTGAAAGAGAGTCATCTCATTCACAATAATATGGTTTCAGAACATCTTTACCCACCTTCTTCGACTTCTTGATCATCGGCTGCGGTTTCAACTCCTCTTCTGAGAAAGCTGTTCTTCTGGGGTCAAATCCATCCTGACCTAAAGTAAGGTCAAAAGGTAAAGGTCATAAAAAGGGTGAAACAGAGGTCAGTGACCAAAACTTCCAAGTAAGGACAGCATCTTTAAGCTCATTTCTAGAGGGGATGTTCTAAAAACCAAGCAAACCATCAGGTTTCCCTTTGAGAGGCAAACACTTTGAAATTTTGTAGGAGGATATAAAGGTGGCTAAAAATATCAAGAAATGGGCGCACAGCCACAAATTTCAAGGTGCATTAGTTCTGACAGAAATAAATAAAGAACTGTTTGTTTAAAATGGTCAAACAAACATTAAAGACACTACAGTAATAATGGCTCAATATAGTTTTAATTTGTAAATTGAGTAAATTTTGAAGATTGTTTTAAATATATATGTAAAACAGTTAAATTAATGATGAAGGTAAGCAGGGGAGCAGAATTTCACATACATGAAATATATATATATATAATGGTCAGGACAAATTGCATTCGCATCAGGAGAATAAGATACAAAGAGACAAAAAAATGCATTAATGGTGATCCTTAACTCTTACAAAACTGTCACATGCAAACTGTTTATCCCCTCTTGCAGAAATGCTTATGTAGCTTGAAAATGCTGAAGCAAATTGTTCTTATGTTTACTAGTACTATAAAGACTTATTTCAGAAACTGAGTGCATTGCAGACGGGATAATAAAATCCTAGACATTCAATTGCATGACCTTGTTTTTCCCCTTAAAATGATTTTCAAAAGGATATTAATAAGCAATTATAAGGTAACATCCAATTTACACTTTTATGACTGAGGATTTACTTAAAATGTTACAAACTCCACCTGCCCTCTCTCCTTAACAAATTTAGAGATTTTGGTAACCTCTTTTCTTCATTAAAAAGAAAGTAAATAAATAAAACAGATTTGATAAAATGAAAAAATATGTTTAAATACACAAGGTTCATGACAGATAGAAATCTAGACTTGGAGTACTAATGGACAATATCACAGAGGTCATTTCAGCTTAACAGTGCTTGTGGCAAATGCATGCCTTTGACATTTCAAAAATGTTCTTACATGGTGCAAGTTACCACAGGTTTGTGAAAGCTAAAATGGCACGCAGTGAAATATTTGTCAGCAAGTACAACCAAAGCCATTCTATGATTTTTACTGGTATCCCACCAATGTCAATTCAGAAAGTTCCTGAGCTGTCATGTGAAAAAGGAAAACGTGTACCTACTTCCTGGGTCTTTACCTGGAATGGTAGCCAAGGCCAGATCGGACTTACTGACTTCATAGTCAACTTTGATTATTTTATCAATGTCAATGCTGCCGCCAGCAGCCCCTGGTTCTGGGGAGGACATGGACCGTTTTGGACTGGCACTTGGGGAGGCAGACACTGGAATAAGGAATATGAGCAGATTGTGCAATGGCCGGAGTCCAATTTGATTTAAGACAATACATTACAAAATTTGATATCATTTGTATAGCTCCTTCACAGTAAAGACATTTCCAGTGAACTTCTGTTTAAAAAATATACAAATGCATAATTAGTGATTCACTGATTACTACATTTCTAGATGAAAAGAGACCATCTTGAATAAACAATTATAAAAATTATAAATAAAAACACTTGCATTTCACTCTGTATCAAGGGTAAAAATTAAACATTACTTCTGTATTAAAAGGAAAAACAGTAAAGTTTACTTTGTATCAAAGGCAGTGAAGTAGCAGGGGGAGACTCGGGAGCAATGGTCAGGGAGGCATTGGAGGACTGGCTGTCTCCTTCCTCCTCCCCCACACCATCCTCGTGAGTCAGTGGTATGCCATTCTCGAAGAGAAACTCGTCCAGGTCCATGTATTCCAGCTTGAAGTCATTATCCATGGGCAGGGTCCTATCCCAAATCTGGGGCCCCAGGAAAGCCGAGGCAGCATCATAGCTGGGGGAGGAACTGAGAGCTTTTGCCTTGTCGACTGGAGTACTTCTCTTTGGTTCACTGTCACCTGAAAGTTGTAATGTTCATTAATTTTAAGTGTGTGCATGTCAAAGATAAACTGGTACACAAGAAGTAGCATATTGTAGGAGAAAAAAAATTTGTCTGGATTTATACATGGCATTTTATTCAGTTCCCTCTGTATAACATCTAATTAACCTGCTCATGAATTAAAAAAGTAACCTCCCAAGCATATATGGCTGCTCAAAATATTTAGCACATAAAACCCTGCATTGTCAATTTGTTTGCTTTTTAACCAACCTTCCAAAGACTCTCCACCTATTTCTGTTACCTAAATGAACATCTTGAGCAAGTGACGTCTAACCGTGAACTTACCATTTTTAATATGCTGACGCTTACCACGAGCTAATGCTATCTGCTGAAGAAATGCCTTCAGCATTTTGAGGAGACAACAAAAACAATGTCCACCCTCTCCTCCCTGCTGAGACTGAGAAACCTGTCTCAGTTCTGGATGGAATGTTTGAACAGTGGGATCAACCTCTGACTTCTGTTTAAAAGCGCAAGTCACATGACAGCAGTGCTTTCTTTCGAGTGGATAGACACCAAACTTAACCCAAGTGTCAACTTGCACTTCTACTTACGGGTCAATCTGTACCCTTATTTTAGAAAATGGGGGTGTATTTCAGTCAGTAAGAAGCATTTAGTTAGAAAATTGAGCCCATTCTGACAGTGTTCACAATGGGAACCCCCAACAGGTTCCCTTAAGCATAAAAAGAAAAAGAAAAAAAAAACTTTTGTAGACAATTATTTCTGCACCAAGTTGACATTTTATTCCTGTAACCTGCGTCTGTGACACCAGCATCTGGCTGACAACAAAACTGGCATACATTCTTCTGACCTCTACTTTGGGTCACATAAGGACACCTGTCACACCACATAAGACTCAGGACGCATAAGGACAGTAACACCACCACCAAATGACACGAAAAATTTATCACCAAGTTGAGTGAGCAGGTTGGAGAGCAGCTATAGAGGGTCAGACTTCCAGGGTGACCCAGAGGGTGAACTGCCTCCCAGGCACCAACACAAACCACCAGGTGGCCACTAGTCTAAATACAGTTTTGAATAGAAATGATGCTGGATGTGTCTCAAAGCTGATAACATCTATATTCAGAAACATTCTTTCTTAATAAAATGTGTCTCTTTTAATATAATAACCACAGGAATCTTTTCTCTATAAAATTACCACGGCCTTCATTTTATATAATACATATGACCTAGTTTATATGTACTTACAACACGTCTGACCCAGTTCACAAAGCCCTATTTACCTTACATAATTTGGAATTCATTTCATATAATAAGAGTAGTATAAAATCTTGGAAGATCTGGGATAAAACAGGTTTTGCAGACACAATTTTATACTTAAAGAAACAAGTAATATACACTGGTCAAATAGCTCAATTTCATTTAAGTTCTCTCACTTAACTATGAATTCATTCATACAACTTAGCACACATAATCTAATTTAATGGTTCACTTGGTCAATTTTTGAGTATAGAATCCTCTTTTGAAAATATCCCAAAGTCATTTTCTTGTCTACATATACTGCAATGCTACTAACTGGATCTTTCCCATTTCAAACCTTTTTATTAAGAAAGATATTTAAAGATAAACCCTCAACTTGCAGAACATGGCAGTCTTGGTAATGGGAACCTAATTATTTAATCAGAAACCATTTACTATAATCCAAGAGCATGGACAGATCGAGCAATGTTTTGTAAGTAGTAGAACATTGTCTTTTTCCGATGAAAATTCGAATTGGCAGAAAAATGCAGGATAGGCCTCGTTGAGAGGGCACTGTGTAGGAGAAAAGGGCCTTGGTTTAGCAGATTATCTTCTAATCAAAACTGCAAACAGGACAGATAAAAATTGATTAAAAACCACTCAACTGGGCCAAATATATATTAAATGCAAATAAAATTTTTGTTCACGTACACATTTAATTTTTCTAGGTAAATAACTTTTTACTGCCAAAACAATACTAAAATCAAAACTGAAATTAAAATCATGTATTTCAAGTTCTTATTAAATTTATTAATTATTGAACTAACAATATACAGTAGATTAACATAAACAATCTCATATCCCCTCATCTATAAGCAAGCCACTGAAAGCCTGATAAATAAATTCTATCAGTGAGTATTACTTTTCACAAGCCTTAAAGATTGCTGTAGCTTGGTCTTCTACTCTTTGGGCCATGGCATGAGGATACACCACTGTCACAATTGTCCTTGTCACAACTGTAGCAATTCCCAGGTCAAGAAGGGAGAGGGGGATACCTCAGCCAGTAACTGAGCATGTAAATCATTTAAAATACACACATTTCAACAAGCATATGGTAATTACGGCAATTACCTGATTTTTTCAGTGGGGGGAAAATGGGGGAAATTGTGAATTTTACAGATACTGTACTTTTTTATGTCATAATTTTTTTATAATTAGTACATTCCTATTGAGTGGTTGCAAAAATAATAATATTAATAATAATTGTAATAATAATAAAAACCGGCTATCCAATAGTTCTATTCAATTTAGTAAAAACAAATGCTATCCAACAATATAATTTTTGTGATTAGAAAATTATATTTTGGAAAGTTTGCTCATTGAAAAAAAATCAAGTATTTACTGTAATTACCATATGGTTGTTGAAATGTGTGTATTTGTATACTTAGTACTGGCTAAATTACTAGTACTCCCTTGAGTAATTACCTTAGTATCTAACAATAGTAAGAAAGGGTTCAAAGTGGTTTTAAAATGGAGGCTGTATATGTCTAAACATCTCTGCATATAAATATGTGTATCCCTCCACAGACTAGCATACGTTTTTGTCATAGATAATCCAGTTCAGGAATGAATACACATCCTGTATCTCCCACTTTAGTGATGTAATTTACTGGAATTTTTGCATGATTCTCTGATATTTAGCAAATGAATTTTATGTGCTAGTTTAGAGAGAACTATTTTGGAAAATGGCACATTCAACTATTTGACTTTGAGGATTTCTATGACCTTGCATATTCAACTGGTCCAAAAAACCCTTCATAACATGCAAACATTCCATTGCTGTTTTAAGGACCATTCCCAAAGATATTTGGTTGGGTCTATCTATCTCCCTGGGGAGTCTAACTAAATTGCTATCAACTTAACCGGCTTAAATGTCTGTTTGTTATAACAAATTCATTTTATTTGGCAGTTACCAGTAAGACACACATTTTACCAAACAAACAGGGGTGAAAACATAACTTCCTTGGCCAACATAACAAGTTTGTTTTACTTGGCAGTTACCAGCAATCAACACACACATCTTCACCCTACCTATTTTGGCAACATACTTTGGCAGGACATGTATTTGCACCTGTCATCCAAAGCTTTTGCTACACAGTATGGGCCATCTAAACCACAAGTAACAGACACAAAGCCCCCCTTACAAAATTTGTGAATGTTTAGAAAACTTGGCAGCATACAGAGTCTGTAAATGAATAGATCCTGAACATGCATTCAAGGCCAGATAAACTTAATATATTAAAGAGGCTCCTTTATATTTGCATTTTTGCAACCTACACAGATTTGTTTTCACACATGAGTAATTCCTCAGGATAACAACTAAGCATTTAACTTTATAATGCAATAAAATGTGTAACTCAACCTTGTTATAATTATACTAGAAGGGCAATTAGAATATCAATTACTTGTTGCGTTTTACGCAGAATAGTTTAACTTTTACGATGTAAGTGCCCACTGGCAACTCATTTATAAATGCCAATTTGTGTGTGTGTGTGTGTGTGTGTGGGGGGGGGGNGTTTACTTTGTATCAAAGGCAGTGAAGTAGCAGGGGGAGACTCGGGAGCAATGGTCAAGGAGGCATTGGAGGACTGGCTGTCTCCCTCCTCCTCCCCCACACCGTCTTCGTGAGTCAGTGGTATGCCATTCTCGAAGAGAAACTCGTCCAGGTCCATGTATTCCAGCTTGAAATCATTATCCATGGGCAGGGTCCTATCCCAAATCTGGGGCCCCAGGAAAGCTGAGGCAGCATCATAGCTGGGGGAGGAACTGAGAGCTTTTGCCTTGTCGACTGGAGTACTTCTCTTTGGTTCACTGTCACCTGAAAGTTGAATGTTCATGAATTTTAAGTGTGTGCATGTCAAAGATAAACTGGTACACAAGAAGTAGCATATTGTAGGAGAAAAAAAATTTGTCTGCATTTATATGTGACATTTTATTCAGTGCCGTCTGTATAACATCTAATTAACCTGCTCATGAATTAAAAAAGTAACCTCCCAAGCATATATGGCTGCTCAAAATATTTAGCACATAAAACCCTGCACTGTCAATTTGTTTGCTTTTTAACCAACCTTCCAAAGACTCTCCACCTATTTCTGTTACCTAAATGAACATCTTGAGCAAGTGACGTCTAACCGTGAACTTACCATTTTTAATATGCTGACGCTTACCACGAGCTAATGCTATCTGCTGAAGAAATGCCTTCAGCATTTTGAGGAGACAACAAAAACAATGTCCACCCTCTCCTCCCTGCTGAGACTGAGAAACCTGTCTCAGTTCTGGATGGAATGTTTGAACAGTGGGTTCAACCTCTGACTTCTGTTTAAAAGCGCAAGTCACATGACAGCCGTGCTTTCTTTCGAGTGGTTAGACACCAAACTTAACCCAAGTGTCAACTTGCACTTCTACATACAGGTCAATCTGTACCCCTATTTTAGAAAATGGGGGTGTATTTCAGTCAGTAAGAAGCATTTAGTTAGAAAATTGAGCCCATTCTGACAATGTTCACAATGGGAACCCCCAACAGGTTCCCTTAGGCATAAAAAGAAAAAAAAAACTTTTGTAGACAATTATTTCTGCACCAAGTTGACATTTTATTCCTGTAACCTGCGTCTGTGACACCAGCATCTGGCTGACAACAAAACTGGCATACATTCTTCTGACCTCTACTTTGGGTCACATAAGGACACCTGTCACACCACATAAGACTCAGGACGCATAAGGACAGTAACACCACCACCAAATGACACGATAAAAATTATCACTAAGTTGAGTGAGCAGGTTGGAGAGCAGCTATAGAGGGTCAGACTTCCAGGGTGACCCAGAGGGTGAACTGCCTCCCAGGCACCAACACAAACCACCAGGTGGCCGCTAGTCTAAATACAGTTTTGAATCGAAATGATGCTGGGTGCGTCACAAAGCTGATAACATCTATATTCAGAAACATTCTTTCTTAATAAAATGTGTCTCTTTTAATATAATAAACACAGGAATCTTTTCTCTATAAAATAACCACGGCCTTCATTTTATATAATACATATGACCTAGTTTATATGTACTTACAACACGTCTGACCCAGTTCACAAAGCCCTATTTACCTTACATAATTTGGAACTCATTTCCTATAATAAGAGTAGTATAAAATCTTGGAAGATCTGGGATAAAACAGGTTTTGCAGACACAATTTTATACTTAAAGAAACAAGTAATATACACTGGTCAAATAGCTCAATTTCATTTAAGTTCTCTCACTTAACTATGAATACAACTTAGCACACATAATCTAATTTAATGGTTCACTTGGTCAATTTTTGAGTATAAAATCCTCTTTTGAAAATATCCCAAAGTCATTTTCTTGTCTACATATACTGCAATGCTACTAACTGGATCTTTCCCATTTTCAAACCTTTTTATTAAGAAAGATATTTAAAGATAAACCCTCAACTTGCAGAACATGGTAATGGGAACCTAATTATTTAATCAGAAACCATTTACTATAATCCAAGAGCATGGACAGATCGAGCAATGTTTTGTAAGTAGTAGAACATTGTCTTTTTCCAATGAAAATTCGAATTGGCAGAAAAATGCAGGATAGGCCTCGTTGAGAGGGCACTGTGTAGGAGAAAAGGGCCTTGGTTTAGCAGATTATCTTCTAATCAAAACTGCAAACAGGACAGATAAAAATTGATTAAAAACCACTCAACTGGGCCAAATATATATTAAATGCAAATAAAATTTTTGTTCACGTACACATTTAATTTTTCTAGGTAAATAACTTTTTACTGCCAAAACAATACTAAAATCAAAACTGAAATTAAAATCATGTATTTCAAGTTCTTATTAAATTTATTAATTATTGAACTAACAATATACAGTAGATTAACATAAACAATCTCATATCCCCTCATCTATAAGTAAGCCACTGAAAGCCTGATAAATAATTTCTATCAGTGAGTATTACTTTTCACAAGCCTTTACATAACTAGATTGCAGTAGCTTGGTCTCCTACTCTTTGGGCCATGGCATGAGGATACACCACTGTCACAATTGTCCTCGTCACAACTGTAGCAATTCCCAGGTCAAGAAGGGAGTGGGGGGATACCTCAGCCAGTAACTAAGCATGTAAATCATTTAAAATACACACACTTCAACAAGCATATGGTAATTACGGCAATTACCTGATTTTTTCAGTGGGGGGAAAATGGGGGAAATTGTGAATTTTACAGATACTGTACTTTTTTATGTCATAATTTTTTATAATAAGTACATTCCTATTGAGTGGTTGCAAAAATAATAATATTAATAACAATTGTAATAATAATAAAAACTGGCTATCCAATAGTTCTATTCAATTTAGTAAAAACAAATGCTATCCAACAATATAATTTTTGTGATTAGAAAATTATATTTTGGAAAGTTTGATCATTTTTGCTCATTGAAAAAAATCAAGTAATTAATGTAATTACCATATGGTTGTTGAAATGTGTGTATTTGTATACTTAGTACTGGCTAACTGACTAGTACTCCCTTGAGTAATTACCTTAGTATCTAACAATGTTAAGAAAGGGTTCAAAGTGGTTTTAAAATGGATGCTGTATATGTCTAAACATCTCTGCATATAAATATGCGTATCCCTCCACCGACTAGTATACGTTTTTGTCATAGATAATCCAGTTCAGGAATGAATACACATCCTGTGTCTCCCACTTTAGTGATGTAATTTACTGGCATTTTTGCATGATTCTCTGATATTTAGTAAATGAATTTTATGTGCTAGTTTAGAGAGAACTATTTTGGAGAATGGCACATTCAACTATGTGACTTTGAGGATTTCTATGACCTTGCATATTCAACTGGTCCAAAAAACCCTTCATAACATGCAAACATTCCATTGCTGTTTTAAGGACCATTCCCACAGATATTTGGTTGGTTCTATCTATCTCCCTGGGGAGTCTAACTAAATTGCTATCAACTTAAGTGGCTTAAATGTCTGTTAATTATAACAAATTCATTTTACTTGGCAGTTACCAGTAAAAAACACATTTTACCAAACAAACAGGGGTGAAAACATAACTTCCTTGGCAGACATAACAAGTTTGTTTTACTTGGCAATTATCAGCAATTAACACACACATCTTCACCCTACCTATTTTGGCAACATACTTTGGCAGGACATGTATTTGCACCTGTCATCCAAAGCTTCTGCTACACAGTATGGCCCATCTAAGCCACAAGTAACAGACACAAAGCCCCCCTTACAAAATTTGTGAATGTTTAGAAAACTTGGCAGCATACAGAGTCTGTAAATGAATAGATCCTAAACATGCATTCAAGGCCAGATAAACTTAATATATTAAAGAGGCTCCTTTATATTTGCATTTTTGCAACCTACACAGATTTGTTTTCACACATGAGTAATTCCTCAGGATAACAACTAAGCATTTAACTTTATAATGCAATAAAATGTGTAACTCAACCTTGTTATAATTATACTAGAAGGGCAATTAGAATATCAATTACTTGTTGCGTTTTACGCAGAATAGTTTAACTTTTACGATGTAAGTGCCCACTGGCAACTCATTTATAAATGCCAATTTGTGTGTGTGTGGGGGGGGGGGGGTGTGTGCACTAAATTTTCAACTTAATCTTACTCAGAATATTCGTCAAGGCTTGCCATATAACTACTAGTAAGAGGTTCCATGTGATGATTTTTATTTAAGTTGTCATGTACTTATACTCTGCAGGAGCATATGTTCTATGATAGGCTACAGCATTTATTTCTATATTTCTAATCATTTTTGAAAGTTATTGACCCTGTGACTCATCTGCTGAGATTATTTCTCTTCTCTTTGTATCAGTTATATAAGTAGTTCCCTCTTGCTTACAAGTTTTTTTGTTGATTTGAAAATGTTACTGTACAAAATCCTGCAATTTACAATTGCACAGTGCAGGAATCCTGAGAGAAAAGATAGCAGCACCGAGAAGTCTCCGAGTCTCAGATGTGTATTTCACTGATAACTGTTATAAATGTAAAATGAAACTTTGTTCAAAATTATTACCAAAAGGAGCACCATAACTTTATTATATTAATTTTTCTACTTTAAGAGATATGATTGCTTAGAAGATGTATAATTTTGGTGACATTTTTAGTGTGGAACTACCTATAAGCACAAGTGTACAACACCATACTGAAGTATTTGCCAAGCATAGCATTTAATCATATCATTCAAAAGTAACCCCTTGTTTTTTATTTCCACAATACAGTGTTTATTATAATATTTCTTTGTGATTGTATCAATAGACTTATTATTTAAATTCTGCAGTAAAACTTTGCTGAAGAAAATCAAATTTTAAAAATCCAAGGCACCTGGCAGCATAACTGCAAACAGCATTGAAATCAAGACAAAAATCAATATTTAAGAACTATAACATATGTCCACATCAGGTTGAAATTTGAAATCCCTAGGGCAGATTTTTTTTCCTCAATTTAAATTCAAATTTTCATTTTTACCATGTCTTTTACATTACGCAAGGAGCCCTTAATGGTAACTTATGTTCCACAAATGTACAGTAATTTATGTTCCGAGTCTAATTTTAATCTTTATACTACATTCCGATATATTTTGTAGTGGGTCATTTACGGTAAATTAGACATGACGTAAGGATGTTTTTGGGGCTTTGCATCATGGCTAATTCTAGGTAACTTATGTTCCCTAGAAAAAATGTCAAAATGTTTCATTTTGTTGAAGTACTTGGTAAAAGAGAAAACAATGTTTTCTTTTGCTGATGGAAAAATATATTGTGATTCCATGATCGTTTGACATTTCTGACATAATATTAGGAGCATGAGGGGAAAAATAATATACTTAATGTTTATTGTACTGTCAGTAGGGTGTATTTCTCCGTTTTTTTTTTTTAAGATTCAGTGTTAAGCAAACTTTACTTGCTCAAAGACAATTAATTGTTCTATACAGAAAATTATAATTTTTTACAATGTTATACTTATAGGAGATAAATCAAAGACCAAATCCAATAATGACTGAATTTTCAAAGTGACTAAAACATTTCACAGTTGGACATTTTGCATTTGTGACAGTAATATATGTCCCTTTTTGGGGTAAGACGATGAATTATTTTTTATTATTCCTGGTTCCAGGAGAGTGAAACTTTGCTACAAATTTCTTCATGTGGTACCCTAAAATAATCAAACATAGTTTGCAATCTGCGTACTAAATATTTTTAAGAGCATGCCTGTGACATCAAGTGCACCTCTATATTGGGTTTGGGTGAAAAGTGACATTATTCAGGACGTAACCTGCCAAAATGTGCTGGATTACCCCCTTTTTTTCATATTTCAAACATAGTTTTAGGTTTCGTTTTACAATTTTTATCAAATTGCTAGGGCAGAAATTATGTTTCTGAAATATGAGAGAGCCTCCTTAATAATACATCCTTAATACTGTAACAATAAGTTTACAAAATACTTTTCAGCTTTATTCGACTATTCATGTGTTCATGATAGATGCCATAAACCGCATTACAAAGGGTACTTCTGCAGTATTCCTTCCACCCTCTAACTCTCTAATCTTTAAAACTTATCAAAGTTATGTGGTGACTTATTTCAATGGCTCTGCTATTCAATTAAATAATTTTGGAAATTTGCTTATTTTTTAAATTTTAGAATATTTACTTATTTTTTTTATCTTTTTCTGATTAACCATCAAGATCTTTGGTCAATGGGATTACAGCAAATTTTTACCCAAGGGGTAACCTCAACACTCATCATATTTGGAAGGCAAAGTTTCATGTAAAAACATCTTAAAATCAGTAAATGAATTGCCAAACTAATTATTTGACTAGCGGTGACGTCGACATTACTCAAAATCACCCCACAAACTGATTTAGAAAAGATATCACTAATATGGTGGAGGAAAAATGCAAAAGTGCATGCAAAGTACTGCATTCGTTAAACAGGGGCAATCAGCTAGCGATGACCTACAATCTGACCCCCAAGTCTGATCAAAATACACACGCGGACTACAACGTGACTTGGCCGGAGTGGTCAGTGGGCTAATGTCACTGACCATGACCACGATCCTGGTTTCGCAACACCACACCTCCCCAATCAGCTGACCATCTGTTTAATGTAAATTCAAGCTAAAAGTGACAAAAAATGATTCTCGATCAAGATGGTGGTTGTACCTATACTCTCCTCTACCATGCATCCTTCCTAAAACTTTGTAAAAGAAGTTCGGATACTGGTCTGTTTACCACTGAATTCCGCTAACCTTGGTCAGTTTGCTATTTATCATCGTAAGACGCAAATATTTGCCCCGTTTTCCCCACTTACCCGCACCTGGCGCACACACGCTCAAGAAAGATGGATTCTCCAAGAGTGAGCGGAGAGAGACGCCAGTAGTACCCATAGCCATGATGAAATATTTTCGTGAATTCCGTCTTACAGGTCTCGTGGATTCGTGTGTGCCACAGAAGCGGGCAATGTTTTCCTTTTATCCTAATTACCATATGCGAATAAAGGCAGCCAATCAGATTGCTGATAAGCTTTACTCTCTAACCCCCGTCAAGATGATCAAAACGTTTATGAGCCTCCTGAAAAGGAATTGAATAAATTTCAAATACAGAATATACCGAACGCGTAACAGAGATACGATATTGAGTAAATCTGATCATTTTTAGAACTTTAATGGTTTTGGACTTTGGTCCGTCACTTGGCAGCAATGTGCTTTCAATACATCCTGGTACTTTTAATGACGTACGTACAAGTTTACACAAATAATGCAATATTGTTACTTGTTGAATGCGTTTATTGCATTTCTAAGTCTATACGTTTCATGGATCAATTTGTACCATATTTGTGAAAGCGTTTGATCAATAAATTAATTCAACCATATGTTATGGATTTGAAGTGCTTTCCCACTCGATTAAAAGATTTACTCCCGAAAAGCCTGTTTTAGATGCAGAAAAACATGTACATGTAGACCTAATGTAGCCTACTTTGTATATTTTTGAAGGGATGTGCATCCTACAGCATAGTCTACTATAATATACGCATTAAATTTACATTAAAGTATAGTCCTATGGCTACCAAGAAAGTAAATTTACTTTTGATTTTTTAAAGGTCATAAAACTCTATGTAAGATGCAAAATAATGCTAAACAGCATGTTAATATTTGTCAAAAAGTATAAAAGTATAATTTTTTTGTTCGTGGCTTAATTTGCAGTTCATGGTAGGCCTAAAATTCATTTTTTTCTTTTTTACAGACGAAAAAAATTCTATTTCAAACGCACCAAATACATGCAGGTAACTTATGCAGGAGGGAGGGAGGGACTTGAGGACAGATTTGGCATGGACGCAACGGGTGAGTGGGTGGCTGCGGTCTATTCAGTTACTACTGTAGGCCTACTGGGAAGTGCCTGAATTACATAATGATATGTACCCGGTAGTCCCTAGGCCTACTGATGCTCTAAAATATATATATCATTTATTACCAACGAGTCTTGCATTTGTGCATTTTGTTTGAAATGATGTTATAAGCACCTATTAATACAGGGGCAGATTAAGGTTTATTTGAAGTGAGGGTCCGCGGATCCGAAGCCAACCCTCCCCTCCCCCTTCCTTGGCATGGTATTTTAGTATTTTATAGGGAGAACGTAGCCGTTTGGTACGGTTTAGAACTAGGATTCATGATTCAGCTAGTCAAAATTCTAATTTCAAGAGGGGACCATTGGTACGTTTTTTTCAGAAATCGATGGGGGGTGGGGTGGGGTCAGGTCCACCCATGGCAGCAACCCCCCCCCCCCCCCCCCCCCCCCCGCTTAATCTGCCACTGCTATACATAAAAAAATTGCACGTTATTATCGTGAAAATACTGTGACATAGGTACATGTTACCTGTGGCAAAGTGCAAATCATGCCAAAGTAAGAAGTCTGCAGATGAAATACATTTAGAATGAAAACATAAAAGTTTCAGTTTGTTTAGCAAAGTATTCTTTCAAAACATCTTGATATAAACAAATTTTGAAATTACTAGACACTCTATCTAAATATAACTGTGTATAACTAGTTCCACAATAAAAAAATTGTCATCAACATATGGTATCTTCTAATTTATGTCATATCTCTCAAATATGTCCTTTGCACTTCAAAACTCATTTTGATTTTCTTTTTTAAAATAATTATGAATAAGGTTTCATTTTTTTAGGATTGCAGTTATCAGTAGAATATACACGTCTTTCTGTAACATACTCCTGTGTATACTGTACGTATTTTGACAGGACATATGCAACACCTCTGTTTAATTCGTCACACTGCAGTGAATGATAAGGCACATGTTTGGCTTTTGCTAATAAATTTTTCAATTTGTGTAGGCATAATAAGGCCTAGTATTGTTTAAGGAACCAAAGGAAAACCTCAAGGACCATAACATTGACTGTAGCATTTTCCTCCGGATATTAACATCTTGTTTAGCAAAGGACAAAGAGGAAAAGACAGGTTATAAAATTCATTGTAGATAAAAATAATAAAATAATGCTTGGTTTCTTGATGCAATAAGTTTATTGTTACTGATAACATCCTGATGTGGTTTCAAGAAAAAATCAATAGTTGGTGAGTGTATTTCAAAATTCAAAGTTATTTCTTAAACAGAATATTACATAATAAAAAGTATGAAGACAAACACTCTTAAAATACTTCATCAGGATTTTACTCATTTTTTTTTTTAAACAAGAAAATACTATCTTCTTCAAAATCTTTTCAAATCCAAACATAACGTAATAGCTCCAACACGTGATGTTCTCTATTCAGGAAATAACAAGGGCCCGTTCCCAATGAAACCATAGTTCTATGTGGAGTGATCCAACTCCGTGGGGACTTGCTGAAAGCAATCAGATCAACACGCCTCAACATACTAGTATAATCACCAGATTTTCAGTAAGCTGATTGCATTTAGTAGGAGTCCCCGTAGATATATGAGTCCACATCTAAATCAATACCGTTTCACACTTCCATTAACTAATCTTTTGAACACAATGTAAGAAAGTTCAAAACCCATTATCAAATATTTTCTTCAAAATGTGTCTAACTGAAATTCACAAGTTAATTAATTGTAGATGATGCAAAATGCAAAAAATATATGATAAAATTAAAACAAACAATTTTAATAGCAAGTTAAAACTTATTACAAAGTATGCAAATTATAATCACATAAATATATCAGAGAATGAAACAAGGCCACAGCTAAGGCAGGAAGATGGGGATGCAATCATGTTTTTAAAATCAAGACTTAAATATTTACATTTATCATTAAAATAAATCCACCTGCTTTCATGCACTGCTGTATCTATAAATACTTTTCATCCAGTAGCCTTGGAAGTTATGGAAGCCAGGTAAAAAGTAAAACAAGTGTGTCTGCTTTACCACTAACTCCAGCTATTCACCTGACAATGTACAATTATGACATGAACCAGATTCAGGCAGATTTGGTGAGATGATAACTGTATTCAAATACAATTAATTCACAAAACATCTTGCTGCATAAGTTTGAGCTGGAGATTGTCATATATAAAACAATGGATAAAATAGACTGTATTGGGCTTAAATATGTATATCAGTTTATATAATTTAAAAAAAAAACCTTAAAGGGCATATTCAGAACAGATAATCCATGGACTAACTGATCAGCCAACTAAATATGGTTGATTCCACTTAAAAGCAAGCCATTTAATTCCCTGATGGTCTCACTGCCTCCACACACCCCACTAAATAGATTACATCTTGGCTCCATGGTTTAATTGCTAGGTCCCTGCAGCATGTGGAGGCGGGGAGATCATCAAGGGACTAGGGGCATTGCTTTTAAGTGGGTCGGCCATATTTAGTCCGCGAATCATCTTGTTCTGAATGCACCCTAACACCCCATTTCCATAGATTAGATCGACCTACTTTAGATCGACCTAACTCCTTGGGGGTTCACGCTAAATAGCTGTCAGCCGGGCCCACACGAAAGTTAATTACCCACTTACAGCTTGTAGTAGGCGGGACGGACATTTAAGTCGGATTATCTGAAAGTAATCTAGTGAGACTCCCCGCGGGGATAGATCGATCTAAAATCTATGGGAATAGAGCCTAAGTCCTTGTCTCTTTTATATGACTTGCGGTGCCAGCTTCATCCTTTGGGAGGTGCTGCACATTGGAGACTGGGTGGGTCCAGGATGTGGTCTGGGTTACGTGACTGGGAAAAAAGTAAAAAAAAAAAAAAAATCCAATAAGGGACTGATTTAGGCCACATTCAGAACAGTAGACTAACAGATCCACATATAAAATATGGCGAGCCATTAAAAAAACTGCTGTTTCATTCCAGATTTAACACTAAATATATTCCCCACGGGGTTGGCCATATTTGATCTGAGCATCTGTTAGTCCACTGTTAGTCCATGCGACCTTAAATGCTAAACAGACTACTGGCCATTTTATATTACAAATACTTATTTTTGATCACAAGTACACACCATTCAAATGAGAATTAAAAATAAATGAATAAATAAGAAAGAAGCAGCACATGACCTTTATGCTTAGATGCATCCCAACATCAACTTTGAACAAAAGAAATTTTCCAAAATGTTGGTTCCTGATACATGTACTTACTTGATGTAATACTTGGTGCCGTCAGCTGTGAAAGCCTCTTCCCAACCAAATGGCAATGCTAGAAGATGAAAAATTATCTAAACGTGAAAAAATACATTTAATATTTTTATATACCTAGCAGTGGAGTAATAACGCTTCCTGAAAAAATCAAAACTTATAAATTGCAGAAATTATGGCAAAAATGGATAATACCAACCATAAGTTGTCACTGATCTACACAAATAAAAGTTTCACATAGCTTAATGATTATTTAAGGTTAGTATAATCTGGTTTTAAAGATTAAAATCTTTTACACTAGTACTGTAAGAGCGCATTCTGAACAGCAGACAAACAGATCTGCGGATCAAATATGACCACCCACTAATAAGCTTGCCGCTTAATTCCTAGACACTGAATAGATACCTCGCAGGGATTACACAACAAGCATTCAAGTGGGTCAGCCATATTTGATCCGCAGGGAATTTATTAGTCCCAAGTTCTGAATGCGCTCCCCCAGTGCATATATTCAGTACTATGTACTCAGGCCCAATGGCACAATTGCTAATATTAGGGTAAGAGTAAATCTTTTTTTTTTTTTTTTTTTTTTTTGCATTTCCAGTGCTGAACCCAGAGTCGATACTTATTAAAAAAAAAAAAGTGGAAATGAAACCAAATGAAAAATTGGATGAAAATTTTTAATTTTAAATTGAATCGAATCTGTAATTTCTGTCTAAATTGGAACAGAAAGGAGGCTGAAAATGGTTGATGAATATGTTCACATGAAACTGGCACCCTTTTTTTAAATTTTATTATTATTATTATTTTGTATTTAGAATGTTCTGTTGTTTGTTTTCTTTGGCACACAACGTAATCATTTATTATTTAAATTGAAAAGCAGATAAGACTGTAATAACCATCCAACCTGTTTCCTTGTATTCCCATTAACCTGACACAAATACACATGTATCATATCACATGTTAATGACAATGAGAAGCAATATAATAAATATTAATCTTACCAGTGGAATATTAAAACATGAAATGCTTAATTTTTTCCAGTTAAATTTAAATTTCCAATCAGTTCAAGGACAAACTAATAATTGCAAATGTCATACCGCATTATTCATTTTTAACTGGAATAATAAATTGTCTTATTCAATTTGTCAGAATAAATCAATAAATAACTGTTAACATAGTTGCAATACAGTTAGTAAGTAATCAAACACGCACACACACAAGCTTAAAGAGGAAAAAATCTTACGTTCTACTTCAACAATGGCTTTAACAGCTCTGACAACTTCCTTGGCTTCTTTTCCCAATGTTTGAGGGGTGTGCTTCTTGTGCCTTGCCAAAAATCCAGGGGGCTTACTTCCTCTAGCCTGCTCCCCCTTGCTGGACTCAGATCTGAAATACAATTCCTGTTAGCACCACTGGGCCATTCAGATTGTATGGATAGTAACTATATAATTACCATGGAATATGATCTTATAGTGGGTTTGTTAGCTGGTGAAATTTTAACCTGAATGGACATTTTCCTGACAAAAAGGGCAGTTCTTTTGAACTGCTCGACCCCCCCCCTCCACCCCACCTATGGACTTGTTTATGAAATAATGACGGCTGTAAACAAGGTCCTACCTTATATGTATGCCATCTCCACTTGTCAATGTCTCATGCACAGTCTGAGAGAAAAAATAAAACAATTAAATAAATATAAAGAAAAAATAAACAAGTAATAAACAAGTCATATTATCACTATGTGTTACTTGATCCTAACTATATCAAGAAAAAGTGTAAGGCTGTTAAGCTGAAATTTTCACATAATTTAAGTATTCAAACAACTTAATAAAAAACAGGCAGCAAAGCCTGCAAATATACAGACAGCACAGAAGAAAAAATGCAAAAATGTATGAAAAAATAATCAAATTTCCTATAAAAATCCAAGAAGCCAATTTTCTAACTGAACAATCATGTCTTTTTAATCAAATTAAGCTCCCATGAAAGCTTAGAAAGAGAAAAGTATCATTTGATAAATACTTTATTTATTAGAATTTTGAAATCTCACATAAAAAACAACACTGTCATAATTTGTTGAAGTCTAGGATCACATTAATACGTACATCACCAACTTATATATTGTATAATTATTATATAATTTATAAATGTCATTAAATGTTTGAGCAAAACTAAGTATCTTTAAAAAGTGTTAAAGAAATAACAACTTAAAAAGCATATAAAATTCACTGTATGCTTAAGTGTAATGCTTTATTGTCACCAAATGCAATTACAAGGCAACTTTGAGCAAAACTACTGGTTAGAAATACCTACTTCTGCAAAGTGCAACAGTTTTTCTGTGGCAACTTCATAAGTTTTCTTTGCAACTTCAGCCTTCCGCAGTTGACAACTCAACACAGCTAGCCTCTTTTGGACAATAGGACTCTCCTGAAACAGTTGCAAACATATGAATGGTGACAACCATCAGGAAAATCTGTCTTAACTGTCATAGAAATATTGCTGATGGAACTTTCAATTGACAATTTATGTTTATTCGTATAGAGAATGCAAAAGAAAACAGGAATATACTCCCTCTTCTTTGAATTTCCCCCATTTTTAATATGTTTCTTGGAAAATCTGGCAACTCTGAAACTCTCTTTTACAGTTCAAAAGAAGAGAAAATCACCCAAAACACATGACAACACCTGTCTCTAAACTTAAGATGGCAGCATGCATTACAGAGAATTTGAACATTAGAATGAATCAATAATCTCTTTAATGCATGACGTAGTTTCTTAATTGCCACACTCTGTTTGCAAATGTTTTTTGACCATCTCAAGTATCTTTAAAAATCCATCGGAAAGGCAGTTACATACCCTTAAGTTATTGGAATCTACTGATTCATAAAAAAATTAATTAACCAAGAAAAGGAACAGTGAATCGTTCGAGCCAACATAATCACACGGAAATGGTGATAAAAGTGAGAAACTTTATTTCAAGCAACTGCTGGCATTTTCTGTCAAACCCTTGACATACCAGCTGTTTGGACTGCTGAGTCTTCATGTCAGAGATTTCAGTTTCCAGTAATTGCACAACTTCTTCGTAATCCTGCTCCATGTTGCGGGCTGCCTTTTGGGCCTGCTCTGCCAGATGGACTTTACTGCGTAAGTTCCGGCTCTCGTGTATAGCACCCTGAGCTTCCTAGAAACAGCACAATGTAAAGATTATAGTCCCTTAACACTGTGCTATAGTAAAGTTAAGGGTGCATTCCCAGAGATTTAGATCGATCCAAGGATTACGATTTAGATCGACCTAACTCACTGGGGGTTCACGCTAAATTGCAGTCAGCCGAGCGCGCACCATAGTTAATTACCCCTTTACAGCTTTTAGTAGGCAGGACAGACGCTTAAGCCGACTAAGCTGACAGTAATCTAGTGAGACTCTCCACAGGGATAGATCAATCTAAAATCTATGGAAATGGGGTCTAAGACTTCACAATTTAATACAAAGTAATTCCATGTCCTCAGTTACTTGGTGGGATAATTAAAACTAATTAACTGTTGTGCAGGAGGTAGCAATTAACAGGTTCAGGGTTAGATAACTCCTCAGCTGCTATTATTATATACCTGTTATGATAATAGATGAACATTCAGTGTTCACTGACTAAATTTCTTTGATTCAGAAATAACACAAAATTCAATGTTATTAAATAATGATGTCATAGCAGTAAGATTGTTGTAAAAATTGCAAAATTGGTTTCTCAGATTTCTCCTCTACCTGAACACCCACAAACAACATATCAATGTCAATTTAATGATATCACTGAGTACTTCAAAACACTGCAGTATTTTTTCTTTAAGGCCTTAGTGAAGATTTTATTCTTAAAAAGGCAAAATAATACCTTTGTTTCAATGATGCATTGTAATTAGCAGCTCATAACTCCATGACAAAAACATTTAAATAAAATGACAACATAGGGCCGAAGCCCATACAGTTGTTGTCAACTATGCCAATTTTGGTAATAAGATCTTGTTCAAAGATGAAGTTATGCCCCATAATGCTTGTTGTCTTACCTCAAAATATCTGACAGGTTAAACTGATGATAAACACTCTGAGGTGCTTCTGTTTTTCACAGAAAAATATAAAGGCCTATGTTATATATTTTTAGAGGATGTTTTTTTTTTTTTAAGGTAGATGCATTGATGAATAATCAGATGCATGAAACACCTCATTTTTGGTACTTTGATGATCATAAACCTTAAATTGAAATGGTAACAGAAAGGAAATATCATACTATAGAACAATCTGAACTTGTATATTATAATCAGGTATAATCTTATCAGTAATCTGACAATTAAACTGAACTAATCAGATTATCAGCTTCTGAGAAGTCTGGAGCTCATATTCTTATTATGTTCAATCTAGCTCAAAGTAGCTGACCATGCTTCTGTGGCATGACATCTGCATGATGCATGATTTTATTTATTTATTTATTTGTTTCTATAAATTGAGTACATGTTTAGCAATTAAACAGATTTTGTTTATTTGGATAGACAAAGTAGTTTTCTTGGGTATAATTTAAAAACACTACAGTAACTGTCTTGATATGCCATTTTAAAAGAAAATAGGATGTTGGTATGTATAGATGAAAAACATCCACAAGTTTTCCTAGCACCTTCAGCTTTTCTGGATAGGCCTTTTTATATTTAATTTATTAAAATGCTGCATTCCATAGGTTTTCTTCATGTATATCATCTCTATCTTTCCAGAGACAAATTACTGTTGCACATGCACTACTAATGCATGCTTCACCCCCCGATGCTTCTCATAAATATTATTAAAATACATTCACAAGTCCACAGTATACTGGGTGGATAAACTCATTATACATGACAAATAAAAGCATGATACTAAAATTTAGTGACTTTTATGGCTCTTTCTTTTATTTAAGTTCTTCCTTTACCACTGTGATGATACGAATAATTCCAAATTGGTTTCTCTTGGTAAATGCTAGTGCTACCTGCGTGCTGTGAGCATGTGTTTCAAACACTGGGCCAATCTTTACTTTGAAAGGTGTGCATTTGCTCTTGTTCTATCAATTGTACTCTCTGCTAACTACAGGCAGAGATCTGAGATCTCATTTTGGCACTCAGTTACATTTTTTTAGAAAAATTTATGCATCTATGGTACATCCAATACAAAAGTGATTCAAAGTTAAGACAATTTCAAATTCCAAAAAAGTGCTTCATAAATTGCTTTTATATTTTGCATGTGATATACCTTGGTGATATATGGAAAACTTAAAATAACTTAGGAAATAAAAATCTCAACTTATAAATTGCATTATAAATTTTTAAAGTCTGCAAGTCACTCACCCTTCGAAGCCTTAGCAATTCCTGTTCTGCTGATTGACATGTTCTCTCTTTTTCACGCAACAAAACCTAAAGCAAATCAAACAATATGCAGTCATTATATAATATGGTGTTTGAATATGAGTCAAACATTATTGTTTAAAAATTACTGTTATTTGAATATATAGATAGACAGAAAGATATTAAAATTTCAAACCTTAAGTTTTTCAACTTCTCTCCTCAGCTGATCTCTTTCCTCAACAACATGGTGAAGCTCCTCTGTGCCTACAGATGGGGAATAATTTATCTAAAAGAAAAAAAAAATGGCTAGTTTCATTGTAAATTACATCAAATTAATATCATTTTAAAGAGATTGATAGCACATACCTGAGATTAGTTTTTTGTTTCAGTCTTTGAACATTTAATAATCGTACGACCAAACATTTTATCTGCCAGGGGTCCTGAGATTCCTTTATTTGGCCCCACTGGGACTGAATTTAAAATCTTGGAAGTTCCGTGCTTCCACAGAAAAAGCTTAAAACATTTAAAGAACAATGTCAGTGCCAAACATGATTGCGTGACTCAATTGTTTGTCTATTGTCTGTCACATTATTCTCACTAGCACACCACCGGTAATCAACATCCATTCAGAACATTATGACATTGTGGAATATGGAAAGCTTGAAAAGCTTAAAATATGAGATGACTTGTAACATGTACAACTACATACATCTACAGTAAATCTCATACTAGTAGCCCATACTTTCTACAGAAAATCAATATATCAGGTATCTTGGTCATTGCACTGATCATGTCAACATCAACATCAATATCATGTTACATAAACTGCGTTGCTGTAGTTCTCATAGGTTAACTGTACTCTCTAAACACAGGGTACACTCATAGTCTTTTACAAAATTATTGTATCCCACCCTGTGGGATTTCAAGTATGCAGTGCTAACCTACTCATTCTGTACGTTTATTATGTGTCAGACATTATCAAGATTGCCAAATTGTTCATGTACTTTTATATGATGCCCACAACCACTTTTTTTACATTTGCCCCTAGAAATCGCTGTATGCAAACACTAATCTGTGGCTCGGGGAAAATAAACTGCAATTATAATTGTTTATGAGGCCAGGTTATTAAGTAAACTCCACATTATATTTTCATGTTTGATGCCGTTTCAACATTGAGTGATAAACCTCGGCAATACAGTCATACCTTTACACAGTTAGAGGGCCTAACATGTAATTACCCTATGGGGGGTTGGGGGGGGGTAGGTTTTTAAGTGGTAGCAGCTTTCATAACTTTGCTTCCTTTCTGTGGAAGTTGATTAATTGGCTAAACTAATATGAACAAACTTAGATTTAAATTTAGATTGTTTATATACATGACAATTTACAAGTAAACCTATCTTGATTTCTTCCAGTTATTCCTGTAAATAGAAATGTTTCTAAACCTCAAAGAAGTTCAAAATCTCACATTCATAGATACCCTGATCGAGCCACTACTGTTTGACATGCTCAATACATGAAAATGATTTAGATGTAACTTTTGGCTTAATATGTCTTATTCTTATGAACCAGACCCTGCTACTTCAAGGTCTAAGCTATGACCATCCTTTACTTAAAGTTAAATACCCAATGCCACAGACCCTCCACTACAAGTCAATAATATGCATATATATAGGATTTAAAAATTTATAAGTGCAATAGGTGACCACAGGGCAGTGACTGACCTCTGGTTTGAAGGCTGGTGGCTGTGTGAAATCTCTGAAGTCATTGTGACATGCTGTTGACGTCTTCATATCACAATCTTTCAATTGAAACTTAAACATCTCCCTGGCAACTTGTACAAACTCTGAATAAGCAAAAAAATGTCTACATGTTATTTTTTTTTTATTGAATGGTTATTCATAAAATGAAAGTACAATAACACATAAACATGAAAGCATTCATGCAGGCACTCACACACAAACACTCATACATACACCCACTTTATATTTTATCAAAGAAAATTACCATATTTCACATAACCCACAACATTTTCATTTACTGATCAGCATCCAACTTCAGAAGGCCAAAATCAATAAAACAAATTATTTGAGAGGATGCCACCTTCTGAGCAGAAACCACAAACCAAGAATGTCCTTGCACAAACCAGCAGCATATCCTTAATTCCTGCTTTCCTATCAGGTATGTATTTACCTCCATAGTTGACACAGCCTGAGGAATCCAGGTGCAGGTGCCTCCTTAACTCATACTGCTGCTCTGGAGTTGGCTCTAAACCCAAATACTTCAATGCCTGGAAACAAAATTGTTATCTTCTACAATCATACAATTACAGTGCAAAGCAAAAAAGAATAATTATATGTTCCATAATATAAAAGCTATCAGGATTTAGGCTTTTGGGTCTTCCAGAAGATGGTCAGATTTTCAAGTTTACACTGATGGGTATCCAATTTTTGCTGTCGGAAGACAATCAAAAATGGAGGATGGATTAACAAAGATAATTTGGAAGACTGTCAGAAAATATATCTGGATCCACCCCTGATTAATAGTGTTATAAGAAAAGTGGTCACATGGTTTTGCAAATGTAGAGAAAAATGTCTAATAAAAATGCTCCTCTATGGGAAGGGGGATATTTCGATCTGTATGAGTTCTGAACTCTACAGAGGAATGAGAAGTACACTAAAAGCTCTTTTTACACCATGTCCAGTCTGGCCAAAATATATGCTTAGAAATGAACATGCTATTCCATTTTTGGGAGTGTAAAATATTTGGAGTGTTTTAAATCCCAAATATCCCAAAGTAATTACTTTTGCCCACAAACTTCACATTCCTTGCCAATATGCCATGATTTGAACATTATGGCTGTATTCCCAGAGCTTTTAGATTGAGCTTTTAGATCGCGGGGAGTCTCACTAGATTACTGTCAGATAATCCGGCTTAAATGTCCGTCCCACCTACTACAAGCTGTAAGGGGGTTATTAACTTTCGTGTCCGCTCGGCTGACAGATATTTAGCGTGAACCCCCAGGGAGTTAGGTCGATCTAAAGTAGATCGATCTAATCTCTGGAAATGGGGTCTAAAAGTGCATTCCCAAAGATTTAGATCAATCTATCTAGATCGACCTAACTCCCTGGGTGTTCACGCTAAATTGATGTCAGCCGAGCGCGCATGGTAGTTAATTACCTCCTTACAGCTATTAGTAGGCGGGACAGACACTTAAGCTGGCTAAGCTGACAGTAATCTAGTGAGACTCCCCACAGGGATAGATCGATCTAAAATCTGATTTGGTAGGCCAATAGGAGCAATCAAATTGACACCTCTCTTGGGACCTTGACTGTTACTATCATAGGAAACTTGGTAGAAGAGCACGAGAGAGTACTGCTAACCAATCAAGGCAGTCCCTTCAAAAACATCACGATCAAAAAAGCCTTATTACTGGCAATCGAAGGCACCTTAGACTACACAGAGCTCCACAATTAATATTTCATTGAGCACATTCAGAACAGCGCACTAACAGATCAGCAGATCAAATATGCCTGACCCACTTGAATGCTTGTTGCTTAATTCCCACAGGGAATCAGTGTCTAATCAGGAAATAAGCAACAAGCTTTTTAGTGGGTCGCCATATTTGATCCTGTTAGTCCGCTGTTCTGAATGCACTCATTGATCAAGTCTAGACTGGTCCAGGTTAAAGGGTCCTAACATGCAATTAAGTCATAATGGTTTGCTCCCTTTCACAGGTTCTTCATCCTGCTGCTAAGAACACGGTCAGCTTCAAACATCATACAACCTGGATCCATCCAACTCTGTAAGGGGGTTCTCACTAATTTGAAGTGTATTCAGTGTTATCAGCTTAATTGTCTACCACACCTCCAGGAGTGGCTAGTCAATTAGTTACTTACCCCCAAGCAACTCAAGGAGGTATGGCAGACATTTAAGCTGATTACAGCAATATATTGCACTTCGGAAGAATCTTCCACAGAGTTAGATCAACCCATGCAGTGCGATATGTTTATCTCTGAGCACTCTGTAAGTTGTTAATTAATTGGTCACAAAGGGCCCAATTCAATGCATATTTTCTTGTTTTCTTTCCATGCACAGACAAAAAAATGGTGTCCTTAACCTATATCAAATGTGTTTATCAGTTTCAAATACCAGAGTGTATTATGATTCCAAAATAACAACCATTCCCAATGATTATAATGATTACAGACATCAGCCTTGGTTTTAATGAAGGAAAAAACCTCTGAACATTAATTATGATACCTACATGTAATACCATCATGTAACCTAGGGTCATGTAGAAAACTAAAAAAAGCTCATGTCTGAAATTAAATCACAAACTTACAATGTCTCATTACAACAGTGAAACTAGAGGATCAGAGAGGCGATACCGCCTCCGAATATTGTACCACCAGCTGGAGCAAGCGCATTCGTATAGACCCCCACATACACAAAATAAGGGACACAGCCACCAGTCTTATGCTTGACAAACTATAAAAATGCAATCAACAAGAATTTTCAAAATACGCAAAANAAAAAGGGCAAAGCACATTTTACAAATTGTTATTCGTCATTTACCAAACTTCTCTTTTATGGCTTTTACCACAACAGGAAAGTTTGTGGGTAAAATGCCCTGGGCCGGGTCAAGTTATATTTTAAGGCTGGTTTATAAGGACACGGCAAACAAATGAAAGACCTGTTCTATTCATTTTACCAAACCTCTCAGAAGTAATCTTCTTGTTATTTATAGGGTAATTTTGCAGGTTGTGAACTAGAGGTTTCATTGCATGTTTGTCTATAGCTAAATTCAAGTTTTTGTGTCAATATCTTTCAATTTGATCAGAATGAAAATGATATCATGATGTTGACAACAAGAGTTCCAGAAAGTCAGAGAAGAATTTCATCAGCTGTGTTATGTTATGAGAACTAGGGGATCAGAGCGGCAATACCGCCACCAGGTACTGTACCACCAGCAAACTTAACCTCATTGAAGCTAAATGGTGGCTATGGATGTACCTGTTTTGGTTGTGGACAGATAGGGTCTGCTTAATATGCAAAGTGCATTTAGAGCAAAAGCATGCCAAAGGTTCAAATTCAAGGTCATATAAAGATGGCCAATATTTGATTTCCTATTCAAGTTCAATATTAACTATGGATGTATATCTGCCAGTTTTGGACATACAGTATATGATTTGCTAGCAGCTATTCAAGTTAAATAGTTACTATGGGTGTATCTCTGCTAATTTTGGAGTATTACACACTTTATTTTGAAAATGTTCACCGCTGACCATTGCAAAATTGTATTTTTAGAAATAGCACAGCTCTTTGACTGTATGGAAAACAAAAAAGACTTTCAGTCAGACTTTCATTATAGTAACTTTTCCTATATTCCCTTTTGCTTGGGAGATATTTTGCACTTAATTTGACAAGAGTGCATTGAATTGTCTAATATTGACAACTAAGACTAAAGCTGTTGAGTGAAGAGAAATTACTTTTTAATATTCTGAGTTCTAGTAATTTAAAAATGAAATCTGACAAAACAGCATTTTCAGACTTACTAGGTATAAATGTAAATAAATACGTTTAATGTTATAAATCTTAATCTAAACAGAAAATCATTTGTTAATTAAACCATGACCCAGTTAGTAATTATATGTTATTTTTAATAGCAAGAACAGGCTCACAGCCAGCAATTTCAAAAGGGAGGTACTTTTTCTGAAAAAGTGGACCTTTTACCACGAAACCTTCATATACCTCAATAAAATTTTACTCAGACAAGACCTTTTCCCAGCAAAAAGGGGGGTTCTTTCAACCCCCCACCCTGGTTAAGGACCTGAAGATACCATACTCCACAAGGTCAATACACTGTACTTACCACTTCTAACTTTTCCACTTTAAGACGGACTTGTGGATCAAGGGATAATTTGGCAGAGGAAGAGTTCGTCGGCTGAAATGGGAACTGGGCAGGGGCACCTCGACCTGGGTTTCCCGCCAACACAGGGGACGGGTCAAGTGGAGACTGGACGGACCCATACATGGTTTGAGCTGGTATTCGTTCAGGATGCAGGGCACTGCCATATGGAGTTCCAGGTCTACTGTTAGGCAGAAAACCTGAAAGTATAAATAAATAAATAAACCATTTTGCCACTGGTAACTTACACCTGGAAATAAGGACATACCTTTTCTCTTCTTAGATAGCTTTTTTAAAACTTTATTATAATAATTCTTTGTTTTGAATATGTAAGTAATAACAAATAAGGAAATTTTTAGTTTGAAATAGGTATATTACTGCCTGAACTAAATTATGAAAATTCAGGATACCAAATAGTTGTCAAGTAATGAAACAATGTAATTATATTTTTCTTTGACCAGGGATACTTGAAAATGCATGTTAATAATATCATAACAAATTACGATAAGTTATTATTATTACATGAATTCAATTGTTTTCTACAGGTTCTCAATAGAACAAATGTACAACACATTGTCAAATGTATATAAAATAAATGAAAAGCCTCAAATAATGAAAAGGCAATATTTATTGTAATCTAGAANGTTGTGCAGGGGGTAGCAATTAACAGGTTCAGGGTTAGATAACTCCTCAGTTGCTGTTACTACATATCTAACTCCTCAGTTGCTGTTACTACATACCTGTAATGGATAATAGATGAACATTCAGTGTTCACTGACTAAATTTCTTTGATTCAGAAGTGACACAAAATTCAATGTTATTTAATAATAATGTCATAGCTGTAAGATTGTTGTAAAAATTGCAAAATTGTTTTTTTTTTTTCAGATTTCTTCTCTACCTGAGCATCCACAAACAACATTTCAATGTCAATTTAATGATATCACTAAGTACTTCAGTAATTTTTCTGTAAGGCCTTAGTTAAGATTTATTCTTAAAAAGGCAAAATAATACCTTTGTTTCAATGATGCAGCTCATGACTCCATGACAAAAATATTAAATAAAATGACGATATAGGGACGAAGCCCATACACTTATTGTCACCTATGCCAATTTTGGTAATAAGATCTTGTTCAAAGATGAAGTTATGCCCCATACTGCTTGTTGTCTTACTTCAAAATAGCTGACAGGTTTAACTGATGATAAACACTCTGAGGTGCTTATGTTTTTCACAGAAAATGTAAAGGCCTATGTTTTATATTTTTTAGATGATTTTTTGTTTTGTTTTGTTTTTAATTTTTAAAAAGGTAGATGCACGAAACACCTCATTTTTGGTACTTTGATAATCATAAAACCTTAAATTGAAATGGTAACAGGAAGGACATATCATACTATAGAATAATCTGAACTAGTATATTATGATCAGGTATATCCTTATCAGCAATCTGACAATTAAACTGAACTAATCAGATTATCAGCTTCTGTAAAGTCTGGAGCTCATATTCTTGTTATGCTCAATCTAGCTCAAATTAGCTGACCATGCTTCTTTGGCATGACATCTGCATGATACATGATTTTATTTATTTATTTATTTTTTATTTTTTGTTGTTGTTTCTATGAATTGAGTACATGTTTAGCACTGGATATAAAAATTTGTTTATTTAGATTGAAAAGTAGTATTCTTGGGTATTATTTACTGTTAAAAACACTACTGTAACAGTAACTGTCTTGATATGCCATTTTAAAAGAAAATTAATAGGAAGTTTGTGTGTATAGATGAAAAATGTCCACAAGTTTTCCTGGCACCTTGAGCTTTTCCGGCTAGACCTTTTTATATTATTAAAATGCTGCATTCCATAAGTTTTCTTTATATATATATTATCTCTGTCTTTCCAGAGACAAATTACTGTTGCACATGCACTACTTGTGTATGCTTCACCCTTGATGCTTCTCTTAAATATTATTAAAATGCATTCTCAAGTCCACAGTATACTGGTTGAATAAACTCATTATATATGACAAATCAAAGCATGATACTAAAAATTAGTGATTCTTATGGCTCTCTCTTTTATTTAAGTTCACCCTTTACCACTGTGATGATACAAATAATTCAAATTGGTTTCTCATGGTAAATGCAAGTGCTATCTGCGTGCTGTGAGCATGTCTTTTCAGCATTGGTCAAATCTCTACTTTGAAAGGTTGGCATCCTGCACTTGTTCTATGCTAGCCACAGGCAGAGATCTCATTTGGCACGAAGTTACATTTTTTTTTTTTAGAAAATATTTTGTATCTATGGTTTGTCCAATACGCAAGAAATTCAAAGTTAAGACAATTTCAAATTCCAAAAAGGTACTTCATGGAATGCTTTAATATTTTGCATGTGATATATGGTATTAACCTAAAATAAAAAAGGAAATAAAATACTTAACTTATAAATTGCATAATTTTTTTAAGCCTGCAAGTCACTCACCCTCCGAAGCCTTAGCAATTCCTGTTCTGCTGATTGACATGTTTTCTCTTTTTCACGCAACAAAACCTAAAGCAAATCAAACAATATGCAGTCATTATATTATATGGCATTTGAATATGAGTTTAACATTACTGATTGAAAATTACTGTTATCTGAAGATAGATAGATAGATAGATAGATATTAAAATTTCAAACCTTAAGTTTTTCAACTTCTCTCCTCAGCTGATCTCTTTCCTCAACAACATGGTGAAGCTCCTCTGTGCCTACAGATGGGGAATAATTTATCTAAAAGAAAAAAAAAAAATGGCTAGTTTCATTGTAAATTACATCAAATTAATATCATTTTAAAGAGATTGATAGCACATACCTGAGACGAGTTTTTTGGTTCAGTCTTTGAACATTTAATAATTGTAAGACCCAACATTTTATCTGCCAAGGGTCCTGAGACTGCCTTTATTTGGCCCCACTGGGACTGAATTTAAAATCTTGGAAGTTTCGTGCTTCCACAGAAAAAGCTTAAAACATTTAAAGAACAATGTCAGTGCTAAACATGATTGCGTGACTCAATTGTTTGTCTATTGTCTGTCACATTATTCTAACCAGCACACCACCGGTAATCAATATCCATTCAGAACATTATGACATTGTGAATATGGAAAGCTTGAAAAGCTTAAAATATGAGATGACTTGTAACATGTACAACTACATACATCTACTGTAAATCTCATACTAGTAGCCCAAACTCTCTACAGAAAATCAATGTATCAGGTATCTTGGTCATTGCACTGATCATGTCAACATCAACATCAATATCATGTTACATAAACTGCGTTGCTGTAGTTCTCATAGGTTAACTGTACTCTCTAAACACAGGGTACACTCATAGTCTTTTACAAAATTATTGTATCCCACCCTGTGGGATTTCAAGTATGCAGTGCTAACCTACTCATTCTGTACGTTTATTATGTGTCAGACATTATCAAGATTGCCAAATTGTTCATGTACTTTTATGTGATGCCCACAACCACTTTTTTTACATTTGCCCCTAGAAATCGCTGTATGCAATCACTAATCTGTGGCTCGGGGAAAATAAACTGCAATTATAATTGTTTATGAGGCCAGGTTATTAAGTAAACTCCACATTATATTTTCATGTTTGATGCCGTTTCAACATTGAGTGATAAACCTCGGCAATACAGTCATACCTTTACACAGTTAGAGGGCCTAACATGTAATTACCCTATGGGGGGTTGGGGGGGGGTAGGTTTTTAAGTGGTAGCAGCTTTCATAACTTTGCTTCCTTTCTGTGGAAGTTGATTAATTGGCTAAACTAATATGAACAAACTTAGATTTAAATTTAGATTGTTTATATACATGACAATTTACAAGTAAACCTATCTTGATTTCTTCCAGTTATTCCTGTAAATAGAAATGTTTCTAAACCTCAAAGAAGTTCAAAATCTCACATTCATAGATACCCTGATCGAGCCACTACTGTTTGACATGCTCAATACATGAAAATGATTTAGATGTAACTTTTGGCTTAATATGTCTTATTCTTATGAACCAGACCCTGCTACTTCAAGGTCTAAGCTATGACCATCCTTTACTTAAAGTTAAATACCCAATGCCACAGACCCTCCACTACAAGTCAATAATATGCATATATATAGGATTTCAAATTTTATAAGTGCAATAGGTGACCACTGGGCAGTGACTGACCTCTGGTTTGAAGGCTGGTGGCTGTGTGAAATCTCTGAAGTCATTGTGACATGCTGTTGACGTCTTCATATCACAATCTTTCAATTGAAACTTAAACATCTCCCTGGCAACTTGTACAAACTCTGAATAAGCAAAAAAATGTCTACATGTTATTTTTTTTTTATTGAATGGTAATTCATAAAATGAAAGTACAATAACACATAAACATGAAAGCATTCATGCAGGCACTCACACACAAACACTCATACATACACCCACTTTATATTTTATCAAAGAAAATTACCATATTTCACATGACCCACAAAATTTTCATTTACTGATCAGCATCCAACTTCAGAAGGCCAAAATCAATAAAACAAATTATTTGAGAGGATGCCACCTTCTGAGCAGAAACCACAAACCAAGAATGTCCTTGCACAAATCAGCAGCATATCCTTAATTCCTGCTTTCCTATCAGGTATGTATTTACCTCCATAGTTGACACAGCCTGAGGAATCCAGGTGCAGGTGCCTCCTTAACTCATACTGCTGCTCTGGAGTTGGCTCTAAACCCAAATACTTCAATGCCTGGAAACAGAATTGTTATCTTCTACAATCATACAATTACAGTGCTAAGCAAAAAAGAATAATTATATGTTCCATAATATAAAAGCTATCATTTACAGGGGTGGATTTAGGCCAACTTCAAGAAGACGGTCAGATTTTCAAGTTTACACTGAAGGGTATCTAATTTTTGCTGTCGGAAGACGGTCAAAAATGGAGGATGGATCAACAAAGAAAATTTGGAAGACTGTCAGAAAATATCTCTGGATCCGCCCCTGATTTATAATGTTAAAATAAAAGAGTTCACATGGTTTTGCAAATGTAGAGAAAAATGTCTAATAAAAATGCCCATCTATGGGAAGGGGGGAAATATCTGCATGAGTTCTGAACTCTACAGAGGAATGAGAAGTACACTAAAAGCTCTTTTCA